TTCATCGTGACCAATCAGTGTCTATAAATAGACACTAACACCCTCAGAAATTTATCGGTTTTTCTGCACTAAAACTCTGCCGGAATTTTTCTCCTTCCGGTTTGCATATTCCTGTTCGTACTCCGGTGTAGTTTCCTCTGGCATACTGTTGTGTTCGTTTGGGCTGTTGACTGGTAGTGCCACCACTCTTCAGACGAAATCTGTTCTATCATGGGAGACAAGTGTCCATCTACCTTAGGCATCAGTGAGGGAGAAAATTGTCTTAAAGAGACACGTTCTGTGGGCTCGGATTTATTCGTCTGATATCGTCATCTGTCTGTTTCATCATTCTGTCTCAATTATTTGACAAGTAAGTCTGGTCTTTAATTCTTTATAATTGCACAGTGATAATTCTGATCATCTATCTCTTCAGGTTTATACATGGGTTCAAGCCTCTTAGTTTTGATTTAAAATGTATCTGTTGCTTCCCTCCAAATTTCAAACCTAAACGTTTCTACCCGCCGATTTTTTGAGCAATTTTGAACCGAACCGGTTCTTTCCTTTCGCGAACTGGTCACCAGTTGTGTCTGCTCACCGAACCGGTCACCGGTTGCACCCGTTCGCGGCCGTCAGACACAACGGTTTGTCGCGGCGGCGGTTCGTCGTGACTGGTCAGTGTTTATAAATAGACACTGACACCCTCAGAAATTTATCGGTTTTCTGCACTGAAACTCTGCTGAAATTTTCTCCTTCCGGTTTGCATATTTCTGTTCATACTCCGGTGTAGTTTCCTCTGGCATACTGTTGTGTTCGTTTGGGCTGTTGACTGGTAGTGCTGCCACTCTTCAGACGAAATCCGTTCTATCTTGGGAGACAAGTGTCCATCTTCCTTAGGCATCAGTGAGGGGGCAAATTGTATTAAGGAGACACGTTCTGTGGACTTGGATTTATTCCTCTGATTCTGCATATTTTATTCCTCTGATATCGTCATCTGTCTGTTTCATCATTCTGTCTCAATTATCTGACAAGTAAGTCTGTTCTTTAATTCTTTATAATTACACAGTGATAATTCTAATCATCTATCTCTTTTGGTTTATACATGGGTTCAAGCCTCTTAGTGATTTAATATCACCCACTGTCTTCAATAACATAAATCATATAAACTATTAATCTAAAGTAGTTTTGATTAAAAAAATAACTTTTGATCCATCACAATCTTTTAAGGGTTTTATAAGAGTTATGTTGTAGGAAAAGTGATTGTGTAATATTATAGAGATTCATTTGCGTGCCGTAATTTCTTTTTTTTCCTTTTTTCTTCAAAAAGTGTGTGTTCCACAAAATGTTGTGTGTGTAGAAAAATTTGTTATGTCATGTTAAATTACAAATGCAAACCCCATCTTTTAAATACCTGAATTCATCAATCTCTGTTTTTATATTATTATTATTCAGAACAAACGAACTGAATTATCAATTTAATAATTTCACCTATGGATCAAATCACATGCCTTTTTATCTTGTATTATAGCAGTCATGCCTTATGCTGGCTAAAAAGAACTTCGACCAGAAAAAAGGATCACAGTTCAGCTAAAATTATTATCAGATTCAGACTCAAGAAGCTGAATTTTTTTTGGACGAAAAAATTATCTCTCTAGCAGATAAACAATTAATGAGTTTGATACAACTAGGAATTATATGGCAATGAATGTAAATAGAAAACAAAAATCACTGATTAAGAACCCTAAACACTCTACAACTAAAATATAATATGACATGCGTCGAGCTAATCATTACCATGGAGAATCTTCAGGTGATCCCTTTTTTAAATTTAACTCTTTGTACCTACTTTCCATTACCATAGATACATAATGAGTCCGTTTGAATGGGCTTTTTTCTTCGAAAGTTATTTTTTTTTTAAGAAAAAAAAAGCACTTTTCAAAAATAGTCTATTTGGATATCTGATTTTAAAAAAAGCTAAACACTTACTTTTTTCAAAAGCTAAAAATTTTAGCTTTTAAAAAATTAGAAATCAATAGTTAAATATTCTTTTTCAAAAATCAAATATTTTTTAAAAATTTAAATAGCTTTAAATTTTATAAAATGTACTTTTAAAATAAGCAAAGTATAAAAAAAATATTAAAAAAATAGAAATTAAAAGTTAAATATTTTTTTCAAAAATGAAATATTTTAAAAATTTAAATAACTTTAACTTTTATAAAAAGTACTTTTAAAATAAGCAAAGTATAAAAAAAACTTTTTTGAGAAGTGAATACAAACGGCCTCTTATGGTCTGCCTGCTAATTCATATTGCAATATAGATGAATTGTTAGGAAATAAGATGTTAAAAATAGGAGTCAATGCAGAAGGAAGATGTATGTATCTTAGAGTTCATATTCAATATTTTTCACAGAGCAACTTACAAAAAAATAGGTGATAAAAGACAAATAGTTAATATAGTGTTATTTCAATCATCTAATAATTCACGCATAAATAAACACAGGCAATAAATAAATCATAGAAAGCAACATAGTATGAATGGCAATTGCATTGTAAAAAGATAATAGTCTTCTATTTGATGTAAGTTGTACAATTAAGTTAATTTCATGTCGACATGATGCCAACCGTGAGGAGAATCATAAGCGAGCAGAGCAATAACTTAATTTCAAGGTGAGTTACAGAGTTAGGATGAATTCACCAAGAGATGGTTAAGCTAGTGTGAAACCATAACACCAGTTCCAGTGCTTAACTCAAGCTGCAAAATCATTAGATCGCAAATTATAATGCAGTAATTAAGAATTTTAATTTTAGAATTAATCTTCATAAATAGCAGAAAAAAAAATAGAAATTCAGACTTGTTCGCCAGCAAACAAGTTTTTAGAAATCCTGGGTAAAAGATTTATAAATATTTGCCATTATTTAAGAATAGAAAAAATAATTAATATTTCTTTAGCTTGATATGACTTATGCATATATGTAGATGTATACTTGTTTGTTTTGATTAAAATATTTTTCATTAAAATAACGATAAGAGTTGCATGTATATGCACAAAGGAATCATTCTTTAATTAATATTTATTTATTTTTTTGTTGGATACAGAGTTAATGTTTTTGGGGTATCGATTGAAATAAGAATTTGTATTATTGTAGACTTATCTTGTAGAAAATATGTGTTAAGGATATAACAACGTTAAAGATTGGTGTGTTGCATAATTAGCAATACAAAATAATGTTATGCACCCTGAGTTACGAATCCGTGTATTACTTTTTTTACCTATAGCTCATCTAATCGTTTGACTTAAAAAAGGGGACTGTGTCAAACTTCATATGTCAGCCCTGATTTAGGATGGCCCATTACCATCTATTTCAATTGGATAAACCAATAATAACTTTTAACGTCTTCTACAATTAAAGAGAGTTTTTCTTGGCCCACACACGAGGGCCTTAATATGATGAAGTATATTATTAGGAAACAAATACTTTTTTTTTTTTTTTTTTTATAACACAAAAATACTTCTTCTGTTATGGGTAGAAGAGAAGAAGTGTTTTTTCTGTTGAGTCATCGTCCATCGATAGTTGTGCTTTTGATTTTATTTTTTTCTGTCTCTTCATTGTGTTTGGAGATACTTCTCCTGCACAGAAGTTATTATCCCATATTATTATTAGTATTATCATTATGGAAAAAATTACTCTCATGCTACCTGTGCTAAGTTTCTCTTCTACACACTCTTCGAAAATTGTGTCATTTTTTTCTTTTCTTTTTTCTTTTTTTTTTCAGGTGATAGAGCCTATAAATTTATCTCTATGACATAAATAGCGTATCTCCTTTAAGATGAGATTAATAAAACTCTATCACTATTGGAGTCAACCCAAATTAATAGAAATTAGTAGGCAAGGTTCCACATTGTTGTCAGGTTAGACAACCCTATGTAATTTTGACGGACCATCTATTTCAATTGGATAAACCCATCTAAACCCTTCTCGTCTCCTACACCTAGTTTTTCTTGGCCCACACGAGTGCCCTGGTACGATGAAGTCAACTATTATTAGTATTATTAATGGGGTCAACCCACATTAATAGCAATTAGCAACAAAGGTTTCACATGTTTGTTGTCAGGTTAGACAACCCTACGAGGACCATCATCAATATTTGTCCCTATTCAAATATGAAAGTTTGTTGAAACGAAAATGGGGACTTAAATTTCAGGCCATGATACAAGTTATCTTGGAACGAATATCGGCAATTTTCTTCTATTGAAACTGGGAGAAAATTCTCTCATATTTAAAAAGATATGATATTACCATATAGACAATCATAATCATACAAATATTGATTAATGATGATAAAAAAAAAAAAAAATAAATAAATAAATAATTACTAAATCATAATTATTGATTCATTTTTTTATAATTATAATTATCCCACACGATCATATCATTTTTTCATTTTTTTTATCAAACACGAGAATATCTATTTCCATTGAAAATATATAGTTCATTATGTGAAATTTTCCCTTGGTTAGATAAGCCCCGCCCCGCCCAAAAATCTTGAACGATTGGAAACAAATATTACCACATATAGATTTAGGTCCTCGAAATTTAAATCTTGGGGCCCACACTGCTTGGCTTCCTCTTCTCAATTATTTATCTTCCAAACATTTTTTTTTTCTCTATTCTCCATTTCTCCTCCCATGATAAAACAATTCGAGATCTTAAAACCAATCTTTTAAGGGCGTTTGGTTGGCGAGATTTTTCAGGATTCTCGCCAAACTGAATTTTTCTAAATTTTTAATTTTTGGATAGTATCATAAACTGAATACAAAAATCATATTTTTGAAAATTGAAATTTTCGAACAAATAAAAATTTTTCCAATACCAAACGCCCCCTTGGTAGTTTCTACTACTCTATCCAAGATTTCTCTTCTTCAAAATATAAAATTAAGGGACCACAAGAATAAAATTGGATTGCACAAAGAACAACGAAAAATAAGATTTCACATAGTGCTATGGCAAAAATATATTACAAGGCGAAAACATGAAGGACATGTTCAGATAATTCTTTCATCTCATTCGTGGCTATCTCTCCCCCCTTAAGCTCCTTCCTTCACTGGTGACGGTGATGGACACACTCAGCAGGTGTGACTGGGAACCTAGTAGCGTCAGTGCAATAGTCATAGACCATATGATTAGCCCTAACCCACATAAGCTGGTGGCTCTGGTGCAAGCTGAGCTCGGACAATGTGGGTTCGTCCCACCAATACTTCTTATCCTCGCTGCTGCTGCATCTCTTAGCATTATCTGTTGATGCCACTGGCACGGGGCACTCACAGGCATTGATTTCAAAGTCCTTATAGGTGACAACAAAGGGGGCATGGCTCCAATCTGTCTTCACACGACCACCTTGAGTGGCCCAATCGTCAGCATTCCATATAGAGCTATATATACCCATGGCTTGGTCTTTTGGGAAAGGAATTCCTTTGTGTTCCAGATTTGTATGCACCCTTATTGGCGTCTCATCCACTAGGAATCTGAACATTGTAACACACTGAATATTAAAATTTTAAACTTGTTTAGAAAAATAGTCTTTCACTTGCCATATTAAAAAAAAATAATGTGCATGGTATATAGATTGGTAATATTATGTCTTAATAACAACTGCTAGAAACAGTGGAAATAGACCTCTGTCTCACTGTATTCTGCAATGGACCAATTTAAAGAGCAATGGAGTAAAATTACCCAAGATTCCTTCTCCTTTTCCATGGGCTTGTTTTTGCGTGACCCATCAGATAAAAACATGCAATTTCATTCTTTTATTACTAATATTGTAACATGGATAATAGGGGTGCTTACACAACTTGGCGCTGGTTCCAAAAGATAGAGTAGTGGTGGAAATCCTTGGTGGGGTCGAACCAGAGGTCGAGTCTCTGCTCCCTGTTACCAACCCCATTCACATACACGTTGGTCTGGACCGAGTAAGGTTCCCCAGTTGTGTTACCCAAAAACTCAAAATCAAATTCGTTGTGATTTGGACCGTCTGATGACATCTACATCATAGAAATCCATCATCATCATCAGAGTCATACCCATCAATTATTGGGATAGAGTCACAGAGTCACTTAATCAAAACGTGGTAAAAAAATTGCATAGGATCATTAGGATGATCAATGTCAAAATGAAGGGATCCCATTGTAATAAAGCAAACATTGGTTAGAGGATAGCAGATGGGGACAAATATAATAAATGCAAGAATCAATTGGATGTCATCAACTTCACGGGATTAGAAGTAGTAGGTAGCTGGCAGTAAAAGCTCGGGTACTAGTCAATTCATGGATACATGTTAAGAGTTGTCTGTACCACTTGAGAAAAGTTCAATGCATTGAGCTAAATATGCAAACAATTGAATAGGGACCCCAGAGGCATTATCCCAGTGGGTAAAAATCTCTGTATGAACATAGCAAAATAGCATCATGAGCAAGTAAAAAAACATATGAAGGTTAATTTTCACTTACATAGAAAGCAGTAACGGTTCCGGCAGAGTCACCCTCTATAAGCTTAAGCTGGATGGTCACTTTCCCAAACATATACTTGCTCTTGGATCCAAAACCAGCACCTGCAATGTCCAAAAAAAAGCACAATTTTTGGTTAAAAATAACACACAAGAAACAATTTTTTGCAAACATAGGCACACCCAAATAACATTATTATTGAATCCGCTATTAAGAATCAGATAAACAAAAAAAAAGTTCAAAATCAGACTTGATAGTACTTAAAGAGGCTTCCAAGGTAAGAAAGAATGTTAGGTGGTGTTTGGTTAGGAGTATTCTCGAGGATGTCTATGCAAGTGAAAGTGGGAAAGCAAAACAAAAGCAAAACAGTCATGTTTGGTTCACGGTTTCTTTCAATTTTCCCATCTAAGTGATTTGCATAGATTTCATCTTTTTGTGGTAGATAGCTAGGAAAATCTACTATTAGGAAAGCCAATTTGTACGTGGTTTTTCAAAGATAACTAGGAAAATGAAGCAAAACACCCAGTAAAATTTTTTCCTACCAAACAACTTTTTTTAATATTTTTCTATCTATCTCACTTTATCTAACTTTCTTACCATTTCCCTATCAATTCTATTTCTCTAGTATTCAAAAAATTTCTCCTCAACCGAACGCCCCCTTGTGCAAATGTCACAGCATTGTGGCTTGAAAAAGCAGGAAAGTACAGAGATTAGAACCAAAGAAATCAGAAAATGGTTAATTACCGGAATAATTATCAAGTTTGAGATTGAGGAGTTCTCCTTCATGGCTGAAATGGTCCAAAGCCCAGCCAGGTTGGAAGAGTTCATCAAACTTAGCAGAAGCAACCAACCCCACCAACACAATACCCACAAACAATCTCAAAAGCCCAGACATATTTTGGTAAAAACAATAGCAGAAGTTGCAGAGAGAGAGAGAGAGAGAGAAAACAACAAAAAGAGTGGAATTTTGTGGTAGTGAGTAGAGAGTGAGGGAAGTGAAGCTTCTACTCTGAAACTGAAATGCTTTCTTTGTCACAAGAGAAGCCTGATTGAGTTGGGTTTTATTTATAGCCATATTCATTCGCATGAAGATTCCACGTAGTGAAGTGTGTGCCACGTCACATGCCACATTGGATTTCTAATTCCAAGAAATGGACAAAAAAAAGTCGATGTGGGGTAAAAAATGTAGCCGTTACTGTTTGCCAGTGCTAGCTGGCCAAAGCTGTTCACAGGGGGTGTGGGCCCTAAAGCTTCTGAAAGAATGATGGCAGATGTACAATAGAATCTTGCCATGTGGAAGAATACAGCTGGTGGTGTTTCCTGTACAGTTGTCATCGGCTGTATCAGTTCAAAACTCTCCTGCTTTTCCTCGCAACCATTTGATTCCCCATCCTTTCAAACATGGAGTTGTTCTGGCAATTTTTTTTTCTTTTTGGATTTTCCTTGTAAAATTTTATTTATTTCTCATGTCAACGAGAAGAATTATCTCATATAAAAGAAATAATATTACAAGAAAAATTCACAGCTAAAAAGAAAGAAAAAAAAATAGAAGCGAGTCTCACATCTATTTTATGTCGGTAAAAATTTGACTTCTCTGACGTGAAATAAGAGAAATAAAATCCTTTATTTACACAAATTTTGCATATTCTATTATGGAAAAGTTTCATTATTCAAATTAATAATAATATGCTAATTATTAATAATTAGCGTACACGACTTACATTAAAAAAACGACTAGAGAAATTATGTTGTACTGACACGGGACACCACACAATATTTTGAGACATCAATTCTAAAAAATGTTATATTTTAATACGGTAGGACACGTTTTGATATTAAATAATTTTTTTAATTTATATAGTGTATAATATATTAAATATTCAATAATTTAACAAAAAAATAAAACTAAACTTATAATACCCATCAATTTTATAAAAAAATATAAGATATCTTAAATATTTATATTAAACTCAATAAAATAGTAATCGTAATCTAACTATTCTCATAGTTAGAACTAAAAATGCAATGCAACATAACTTGTGAACATTTTTTTAAATTTCTACAACGTGTATTAGAATGTCAAAAAATGTCGAACAGAGTTCTTCAAATTTTTTGAAATATCGATGGATACTAGTAGAGAAGTCCCTCTCCATAAGCTAATCTTGCTTGCAGTGGGAGTACAAACTTCTTTTTCTAAATTGAAAAAAATGGGATATAAATGAAAATAACTATAAAAATAAAAATATTATAAAATATTATTTTTTATTTTATTTAATAAATAATTACCAAGTATTTAGTGCAATGCGAGCACTTAAAATATTTTCCCTCTAGCATGTAAATCTTGATATCTGCGTGCGTGCGTACGAAAAAGACGAAGCTGGATCCTTTGGTTCTTCAGGAATCATGATTAAGTTTGGCAACGAGTCTATGTTAATCAATTTTTTAATATTGACAAATAATTTGAAACTCAATTAAATATATATTTTGTTAAATAATGTAATGAAATTACAAATAAAATCACATATTGATATTATTAAAATATTATTATTGTTCTCAACATGCATATTCAACCAGCCTTTTAATAAAGGAAAATTATATATGAGATTGATCTCTTATGTTATTCTTACTTCAAAAAATGTGTCTCTTTTTTTTTTTTTCTAAAAATTGGTGGGCTTCAATTTTATTTGTCTCTTAACATGAGAGAACTTTCTTTATACTACATAAGAGAAGTAATCTCTTTAATAAATTAAACATACCAAAGTTTAAATTTAACTCATTTAATAAATGTATCAAAAAATTTAATATATTATATTGATAATAAAGTGAATTCCTAGTTTAGAAGCTCCGTTACTTTTTTACCCTTGTTCATTAATGCTTCTGGTTTCGGAGTGGGTCATGTTTATCTGCTTTGTGTCTCGTTTTTTGCTTTTGGAGACACCATTTCCAGCTGGATCATGTAAAGCGCAATTATACAAAGGGACCATTATCTTTATTCATTCATCAATTCCTTCTTCTAGTTAATATGCTATATTTTTTGCCTTGAGATCTGTGCAATGTGTTTGTTGGGAATATGCATATTACATATGCGTTTTTTAAATTATAATAGTGTTAACACACAGATCTGTGTCAGAATGTTTTGCAATGCGCCACTAAATCAATGGAGATTTATAATTTTTCATTTTAAATAAAAACTGAAAGAGATCTTACTGGGAATGGGCAAGTTGATGGATTTGGAGCGGATTTTACCAAACCATACTTTTAAGTTTTCCATCAATTTATGACGAAAATCTTGTTCCCTCTCAACACATTTTCAACCCAAACAAATATAATAAAGGTTAAATGTTTTGTTAAAGGTAAATTTATCTCTTGTATATGATTTCATATTTTTTCTTTCATATAATTTTACATAAGTTTTACGTACTTTTATATATATATATATATATATATATAGATATAGGGTTCGTTTTTTCTGCAGTTATCTGCAATAAGTTCAATACGACGTAGTTTTGGGACTGAAATCATGATATTTTGTAATTTTAATTTATTTCAGGGTTATAATAGTCTTTATATTTATAATTTTTTAAAATTTCAATACTAAAACGACGTCGTTTTGAGAATAAATACAGATAACTTATCAGCATTAACTGCAGAAATATTTTTCCCATATATATATATATATATATATATATATTAAGATAAATTTATTTTTTAAATGAAAAATATTAAATTCATATAATAAATTTATTTTTTATAATATGAGATAATTTTATCTTTTACGTATATAAAATTATACGAATTCCGAAGTCCTATAAAAAAAATAAAACATGAATCATATTCGCTCTTATATACGATGAGAAACATTAAATTCATATAATAAATATAGAACTACGTCTTTAGTTTTACCATCTGTTACTTTTACCCTCTAGCAATCTCGACCGATAGGGTTATCAGTAAATGCAACTATTTGTTCAGAGTTTCTTTTTATTTTGTCGAAAATTAAAATTTCCTCTCAGTTTGAGAACGACTGAACCAGTAGATGTACATCATAAATTTATTTCTAATTGAATGATAGTAGTTTAATTGGTGTATAAGAATTAAACATATAAGAATAAAAATATGTATTCGACATTTTTTAATATTATTTTTAAGAGTAATTTAAATTCTTAATTCTGAACTTACCTCAAACAGGATTATCTCCCATTAAATATATTTATGGTTTATCAAAAAATATTTCTAAATTTAAAAAAAAGAAAATTCTAACTGCTCCGTACTAGGAAATATTATCTGGCTTTGTCTTGGCCGTATTATACAATAATTGTACGGTTCCTAGTTTGGTCCCTCTTTACAAGGTATAAAGACGGGGTCGCGCACATCCAGAAAGTATAATTGTCACATTTTTTTTTTTTATTGGTAACAATTATAATTGTCACTTTACTAGTAATAACTAGTAATAATATGTTGAAAAGTTAAAGTAAAAAACTGAAAAGTTTCTTACAGTGTAGTTGTAAAAAAAATGTGCAAACACGCATAAGATATTTTCTGCGCGTGCAATTATCCAGTACACCTTACGGTTGAGAAGGACATGATAGAAGATCAGTTTCACAAAATCAATAATTCAAACGACCAAGACGTTAGGAATAATTTAACAATCAAACAAAAGATTTTTTTTTTTTTTTTTTTTTTTGGAAAACAATAAGCGTAACATTTTGCAAATAATTTTATTTTCATAATCCATATTTCTAGTCACTATTCTTATAATTATTTAAATTAATGAATAATAACTAAATCTTTTTGGAAAAATTTACCCAATTTTTTATAACTTGCACATGAATTTTTGAGGTCTGAGTGGGATTGGCAACTCAAAATTCAAAGTACCAATAGCCATTGAATTGCATTGATGGTTTATTGTAGCAGATTGGCGATCAGAAGGTAGATAGAATTAAATTATCACTAAAATCACCGTGATGTAATGCTACCCGGGGGGGGTGGTTTCTTTTGAAGCAATGCAATCAATATAAAATTTCAGAAACACTTTAAAGCAATTTCTGTGAGATGAGGGTGAGCAGGCCAGATTTACATGTAAAAAATAGGCTGTTTTTGTTTTTTTGTGCAGAATGATGATGATAAGAACTTAAAGTGAATGAAGTTGCCAGCTATATTACTTCTTTTTTTTCTTTTTTCTTTTTTTTTTAAAGTGGCACCGCCCCTTTTACTTCTTAATAAATTAACCTTTATAATAGGATATTAAAGATAATTTTACATTATAAATTAAATAATGCTTATCCATTTACCAATGTTTACAAGAATGAAACTAAAGTATAACACATCTAAACATGTGTTATTGTCTGTGGGAGTAGATCCTTCTATATTAAAATTTTATATGATTTAGTCATATAAAATTTTTATAAAATTTTTATATTTATCTATTTTTTTACATACATTAAATAAATGAAGTCTAATTATTATTAATTAATGAAAAGATAGACACAAAATTTTTATATTATCATATCATATAAAATTTTCACAGAGGATCATTTGTATTGTGATGGTTTAGTGGTGTTTGATGGGTAAGATGCCAAGGGTGATGCTGAGGTAAGTGTGGTGAAGCAAAGGGGTCTTATCATGGCGGGAGTGAATCTTCTTACATGAAAAAAAATAATTATTTTATTTGATCATAATCACTAATTTAAAATTATATATTTTTCTCATTTTTATCTTATCATCATTAAATAATTGTGATCAAATACTATGATTCACAAGATCACTTTTTCATATGAGATGATTCACTTCCATCTTATAATAAACAACAATTGATGGTGGTGATTCTCGTGACGCGTGCTTTAGGGAAGGAAAAAGCTTATTACACGAAAAATAATATTATGATATAATAAGTATGGTATTCTATTTTCTTGTG